AAATAATTTCGCTATAAAAATCTGGCTCGATCGACAAACGCACGAAAAAAATCCGGTAGCTTCTGAGGAGCCTACGTGACGAAGTACAAATACATCTAAGCGCCGACCTTGTCATTACGGGCGGGCCGATTTTCGCGCGTCAACCGATAATATTAAATTCCAGGCGAAAATTTAAATATAAAATAAAAGAGGCAGCAACTATTTTTTTCGTAATATTAGCTTTTTTACATTAAAATTGTTCACGCTGTTTTCTCCATTATCGTTTCTCACGGTGGTTGTTTATTTTTAGAAATCAGCTTAGGCTAATGTGGGCTAATGGTCTTGGACTGTATGAGTTTCACCGGGATTTTGATTGCGTTAAGTACAGGAAGGGCCACATGCAGGGACTCGTCGTGCCAGGGCAATCAACTTTCTCAAAAAAACTTTTCTACATGATAATAAATTGGTAAATGTGCGTAAATTTACCGTTGACGAATCGCGGAAATTTGTTTGCAACTTGCTCGACTGCATCAAAACAAATTTCTTTTACTTTTAAAGAAATAAAAATATGAAACCTGCTGCACCGAAAGTGCACGGACGCGTGAAGTGAATAATTAGAACATTTTATGACCATCTGATAAAAATATAAAAGCGCGTTTCCGGTGCATTACTCATGCATGCTTTTCATTATTTTTTGCGTCGTCTTGCGTGAATCACCCCATAATCGAACAATAAAAACTTATAATACAGTTTGAGTGAACAATGCGTTTTATTTATTTAAGCTTCTCTTCCGTGGCTGAAGAGTTTTCCAGCGGATAATATTCCCATCGAGATTAATGAGTCACACTTCTTCTGGACCGAGAATAATGCAAAGTGCACTTGCAAGTCACCCAACGGAGAGAGTTGGAATAAAAAGCGGTACTCGAGGATAATAATATGCGAGTGAGTTACGGCGTGACGTGCCAAATCGCGCGCCGACTTTCCTCGCCGCACTTTTACTACTGAATGGGCTTCCTCGAGTTGCACGGAAAATTCTAATGAAATATAATAATATACGATTCTGGCACAGCGAAGGTCAATATCAAATAGGCGATGCACTTCTTTCAAGTGAAGTAGAAAGTTCGCAGGGAAGCTGCAGACGTTGCTTCTAATAAAACGGGCAAGATTCTTTCCTTCTGTTATGGCCAGAAAAAAATGCCGTTTTATTCTCGTTGAATTGGCTCTGCGCTAATATGTTGGAAAAATAACGAAGTGATTTCACTTTCGTGACTTGCCCAAAATTTTTGGTGGCGGTTAACCTCCTCTCCTTCTAATTTTATTTTATTGTAGAAAAAAGTGAAAGAAAAATATGATAGTACCAGTGCATTCATTAATTTAATCATGAAACTGTTAGAGCGGTAAAAAGAACGTCAAATTAAAATGAAAAAATTAAATCCTTTTCAAATTATAAGTTGATGCAAAATATTTTTCAACTTGCAAGTGAAAATTTCTTCTGGATAATATTCCATTTGAGGACATCTCATTGAAGAATTGCCGGGTTTTTCCTCTCTGAATTTGAATTTAAACTTTTCAAGGAGATTAATTTTATATATTTCCATTTAACGTGTAAATAAAAAAATTAAGAAACGAATTACTTAAAAAAAAAATAACATTTTAAGCTTTTAATAAAATGGAAAACCAAATCCTTTCAAATAGTAACTATTTTTTAGGAAATTTTTTTTTAACTTGAATGATAGAGAGCAAATTTATTTAGGTGAGCATATTTTCTGTTGAATAAAAACGACACGATTTATTTTGAATCCATAAACAGACGTTCACAAATATTTTCTTCAGATGCTATTTCATCTGAGCACAACTCATTGAAGAATTGCCTTTTTTTCATCTCTCAATTTGAAATTAATTAACTTTTCAAGGAGAGAAATTGTTTCTATTTAATATGTAAATAAAAAAATATTTGAGAAACGAATTGCATAAAAAAATCAAGACTTCCTACATCAACAAAAATTATAATAAAAAATGGTGCTTTTCAACGCGTCAACTTTTTATTTCAGGCAACTTTAATTAAAAGTAAGTTGCCCATCAATCATACGAACAAACATGTCGGGCTGCAATTTTAATTAATCATTTCATGGTCTAATTGTAAAAAAATTCGTCTCGTAAAGATTTAAATGATCACTGGTTTTCCCGTTGGTCGCCGTCGTCGTCAGCTCATTGTCAGTGGCGCGGACAATAGGTAATAACATATCCAGCCGAGGGGATTTCATTACAGAGAAATTTCGGCACCACTCGAGACTCTCACTGCACACTCACCCTGAGTTGCGAATTTTCCTGAGAAAGTGAAAAGCGGAAAACGAAAGCAGGCGATGAAACCGAAAGCTCCGAGTGATTCGCGTCTTTTTCGCAAATTCACGGGCCAAAAAGATAAAAAAATAGCAATGTAATAAAAGTTCCTCTCTTTATTTGTTCAACTCTCTCAGCCGATTCCGCTGCTCACGCATTGCAAATTAGAAACTTATGTAATTTCGGATTCGGCGCCTTTTGGCCGATTCATGCAAAGTTATGCAAATTTATGTGTGGTAAAGATGAGAAATTAATGAGGAATTATTTCAGCGCCGACGGCAGATAATGAGCGTGCTCTTGCGCAACCTCAAAACTTGGATTTGCGATGATAAGGAAAATGTTGAGAGATGAAATAACAAGTTAATAGCAAAGAATATAAATGATATAAACAGAGAGAGGACTCTGGATTTTTTGAGAGTCGTTTGTAAAAATTCAAGGTCTCTTAATGCATGGAACTATTCAAATCAGTCAATCAAATTAATGAATGACGATCAAAATTTTTTATTTCCTTAATTAACAAAGATAAAATGGAGTTGTGACAGCTTGATTGCATATAAATGTCAAAGGGACTTTTCAATAAAATCGAAATGTGCTAATTTATTTCAATTTGAATAATGACGTTCAGAATATTTCTTACTTCATTAAAACTGCAAGATTTAAAAAAAATCTTGTATTTTTTTGAACCCAGAATAAAGGTGGAACAACAATTTTTGAAGAGAAATTGAGATTCTTCCTTAATTTGTATTGTATATTTTTTTAATTTCCTATATTTTATTTATTATTATTTTCTTTTAATGAAGCACCAAAACTTTGATTTCTTTATTAATTTATTTCCCCTAGAACTGGATAGAGCTTTCATCAAAGGAAATATTTAATCGTTTTCTATCAGCAAATTTATGGCAAAGATTACATTTGTGTAGACAAGTGAAAATTTTATAAAGAACCGACAGAGCTATTCTATTCACAAATATTTGTTTGCATATTGATGAAATTTTTATTAAAGTATGGCTTGACTCAAATTCTTATCACTTTATTGAATTAAAATAAATAAGAACGCCTTTTCTTGTTTGGCAAATTATATTGATTCAAAGTTTTATGACACTTTTTTTTATCTATAAACTCAACACTTAAATTTTATAGTGAGACATCCCAGATTATAAAACTTTGTGTTGCAGGAAAGGAAAACGAGCCTTGGTAAAATTTACAGAGAAATACGATCTTTCCTACTTTCCCGCCTTGGAAAATTTCCACAGGCCGCTGAGAAGATCAAGTGAGTTGAGCCGGCTCGCGAGAAAAGGAATCAGGTTTTGCGAGCGCCGCGAGCACAACTCGCTCGATGCTCGCGATTTGTCTCGACCGCGCCCCGCGCCCGCCTAGAAACAAACAAAAGTTCTTCTCCGCGGGTCCATCTATATAATTTGGATAAGAATTTTGGTTTTGCAGGCGAGTCAGGTGGCGCAGGTCGCCTTGAGAGGCAAGGCCGCGCAAGGAACCGCCTTGACCCTGAGTGCGTCGCGAGGAATCTCAAATGCTGAAGAGTGGGCGGCTGGGACCCCCAATTAGCACTCGAGAGCCATCCATTGTTTGTCGAGAGCGACAGATTGGACACGGCGGCCATTGTTATCGCCGCTAATTGCTAATTGCGATAGGAATTTCCCCGCGCTACCTATACAGTTTTGTTTGCTCTTGAAATTATAATACAATGTGCGAGCGACCCGGCGTTGACTTGGAATAGAAGCACAGTTTTGTACGTTGAATTTTAATTTTTCGTTGGATTTACCTTGGAATAGGATTTTTGTGTGCAAAATCACATACTTTATTTAAGAATGAAGAAATTTGCTAAATGAGAAAATTAGCACCTATCAGCATTTAAAAAATTTAACAAAAAATGAAGTCGTAGTTCAAAATTAACAATCCAAATAATTTCATACAGCTAAAATGTATGTTACATCGAGGACCGGTTCTAAATCAAAATCAAAATTATTAAATTGTTTAATTTTAAATTAAATAATATCTATTGATGTAAAAGATTTTATATTGACTGAGATGGACATTAAAAAATTCATCTGACTAATAAGATGTTTAAAAAAAAAATTTAGCCAAAGACTGCCCTTTTTGTTATTTCCTAAATGAATGCATTTGCTATTTTATGAACAAAAGAATAACTTAATTTCAAATTGAAGTAATATAATAGTATATTAAAAAAATAATATTTGAAAAAATATTTAAAATAATTTTGATCATGTTTTAAATTTATTGGTGCTTTTCTGAATGATAAATTCGCGGATTTTGTGCGTGTTTTTTTTTTTTAAATAATTTCACTACGAAATAATGTAAAAATATTAAAACTGTTTAAAATGACGTAGCGATGAAATTATCTTAAATTGTATCTATTTTTAAAAGAAAAAAAGATTATTCATTCAAGATGTAGGAAATCAAAACAATGTTATGCTTGTGACGTATAGAAAACATTCAAGCTTGTTTACATAATAAATTTGCGCCACGTTTCCAATGAAGGTTGTAAAGCAACTTCAAATCCTGGAAGCTAGTTTTTGCGCCGACGAATTTTCCAGAAGATCTAATTTGTGTTTTTTCAGTATACGCGCGTTTTTTCTCTCTCAAAATTTTATATTTCTTTTTCAACGTAAAAAGCGGAGAAACGAAATTATTGCGACACTCACCGTTGTAGGAAGACTTGGAGGACTCTTGGATTTTGAAAGTGAAAGGGATGTGCACCTTCATCATCTTCATTTGCGGAATCTGCGGCTGCACAGGGTGCACGTTTCCTCCGAAGACGAACTCGTCTCCGTGCAGGCGGAACACGACCATGTTCCTGCAAAGAAAATTCAGCCAATTTATTATGAAAAATTTAACATGAACAAAGATTTTGTAAAATGGAGTGGGCCACACGTTATGTAACATTTAAATTTAAAGTCACTTTCATTTTTTTTTACTTTTTAATGAAATATTCTGATAAAAATTTAAAATAAATTATTTTTAGGCTCAGGTGTTTATGAACAAAATATAAATTATCTTAATTGGTAAAAATATCTAATTCCTCAACGCCAAAGGGTGGAAATTAAAAAGTTATGCAAAGGCCACTAAAAAACGCAGTGCAGCCGTCAAAAGACGACGACCTTTCCACCGCAAACGAGCAATCAAGATTTAATTGCCGTGGCGACCCTTCCGAGAAAAGACCAGCGAAAGGTCTGAGCTGCGTCAGTGCGAATTTCCGGAGAAAAATCGCCAAGGACCGAAATCGGAGCAGAATTCGGAAATTTTTGACAGCTCGCAAAAATCGAAACCACGCCCCCTTTTTGCGAATTAATTTTATTTACGCATATTTGCGCGTTTCAAAATCATACACGAATCCACTGTCCGCGGTGTCCGACACCTTCGGGCGGTGTCCGAGTTTTTTTGTGGTCGTACCTGAGGATGAACAGGACCATGGCGCAAAAGCAGATGAGCACCGCGAGCACGGAGAAAATGTTTGACAACTCGGCCACGGACACGAGCATCGTGGACATTGTTGAGCGGCGGCACTGCAGGACACTGTCAGGCAGGAGCCTCGTTGGTTGTCATCGCTGGTCGAGGCGCAGGGTAGACCTGAGGAGAGAAAGTCTCGCACCACTTTTACGGCCTGCTCCGGCACACAACACCTTTTATTATCATATGATCGCCAGCCAGCAGAGTAAATATTATCAACGCCAGTGCCGCCGCCGCCGCTGTCAAAACGGCCGACAAGTGCAGCCACCTGGCGCACTCAGGCCAACCAAGGGTTGCTTTTCACTGCTACAGGTGGCACCACTGACACTGACAATAATAAAACTAGACTTGCGAAAAAAGAGAAAATAATAGCACACGAGGTGAACACATGGAGTGCAAAAAAAAGCGGCAGAGTCTAACAAAAAAATAATGCCTTGAATTAAAAACAAGGTATGTATGAGAGGTGACAGGGATGACTCATGTGTGTATATGGAACTCATGAAGTCGCAAACAGTCGCAAAGTCTATAAAAATCCCATTGTTTCATTATTTTTGTGTATTAAGGATTTATGCATTTTTTTTTTAGAATTCTCCATTCAATCCATTCATATGATTTAATTTTTCTGCCAATAGAGCAAAATATGTAATTCATAAAGTAATATTGATTATGCATAAAAAAATTCCATTCTACGCTTCCTTTTTTAGAAAAAAAATATCTTATTCAGTTGTATGCACTTTTTTATTATGCTGCCGGCAGTGCCGGCTGTTGTTATTTTAAGGTTTGCACTAAATTGTGATATTTATTTAGTTTTTATTTTATAGTTGGCCTGAGTAGGTTCTTTCTGCTTCGAACAAAATGTGGCTTCTTTTGTGACACCAAGAATCGGTTGAAGAGAGACAAGGTACAGCAAAACATTATTTTTCTCATTTTTTCGCACATTTTTATTTCTTAAATAATTGTTTGAATTATGGACCAAACTGAATTAATTAAATTTCATTATTATTGCTTTAAATACGTATTATAAAAGAAAGGAAATGAATAAGTTTTTGAAACCATGTAAAAATATTTTTTCCTGATTTTGAGCAGGTTTTTTCGAATTAAGTTACGTAATTTTATATTTTTCCTGGTTATTGCCAAATAAGTATATTAACAAATAATTAAAGATTTTGGGCTAGAATTCAGAAAAAGTAGGCGATAAAAAAATTTACTGAATTTAAGAGAAGTTTACAAAAAAAAAAAAAAAAAAAAAAACAGTTGACTTTTTCAATCACAATAAAGAGATTTAAAATTATTTCTAAAACTGATTATCGTTATTTATTAAATTGAAAGAACATCTGGCGAGATCTGACGTTTATATTCATTATAGTTTTCTTGTTTTCGTGCGGCATAAAATTTTCTTCACATCTATTATAATATAAGTGATATACTTTGTTTTAAACAAAATAAATAATTTAAATTGAATGATTTTTGCTTACAAAAAAATAGTGCTCCCCTGCTATCATTTTTTGATAATTATTTCAAAATCTTTTTCTCATCTTATATTCTTTTAAATTATTAATGGCAAAAGTCAAAACAACATTTTGATCATTGATTTTTTATCACTGGCTAATATCTGTGATCGTTTTTCTTTGCTAAAGTGTCTGAGATTTAAACTAAATATCATTTTACGCCAAATTACGTTTCACATTTCCATTATTTCTTAATATTTGAAATGAAATTCACAAAATTCAGAAACTATTTACTTCATGTTTAATTTGGAGAGCAACACATTATTCATGTTCGTGCCATATTTTTGAGTATTCGGATGTCAACAGAAATTCTCTCCCTTTGTTTAAGGGTTAACGACCTTTCCATCAACTTCAAAGCAGGTGAGGGTATTGTCGGCTTCGTCCAGGACGGAAAATTCGATGCTCATGGACACGAGCGGGTACTCCTGCAGAATGGGCATGATCAGGTTGTAAATGACTTGGTCGCCGGCGGCCAAGGGGCAGCCCCCGGAGATGAGGTTGGCGCAGACGTCTTGGTCGGGCAACGGGTAGTCGATGGTCAGGCCGAGGGTGGTCACCATCACCAAAGGCCTCAGAGTGCTGGCATCAGCGCCTATAGTAAATTATAAATTTAATATTAGTAATAAATTAATAAATGAATCAATTCATTCATTTATTTATTAATTTTTCTCTTATTTCAAGCGACCAAAATATTTTTCCGATTTGGGCTTTTTTTAGTTATGCAACCTGCCGCGCGCCTGAATCAAGCAAGTTGCATAACTCTGAATATACATGGAATGAAATTATTAAATATTACATACTTGCAGTGAAGGTTACTTTAGAGTCGAGGTCCGTGCCATGAACAAAGTCGCAGGGAAGTGTTTCGCAACCAGAAACCTCCAGAAAATCAGGGCTTGGTGATCCATCGCCTATTTTAAAATTAGAGACGATTATCAAGCTCAAAATTAAATAAATTTAAATTCTGTACTGCAAGCTCGGAAATCTGTCGCGAAAGCAGATGCGACGCAAAGGGCAACAAGAAGGGTGGTGCGCAGCATTTTGGTGCCTTGCCTCGAGTGTTTTTGTTGAGAGTGAGCTGATGTCCATCTGGGCCAAATTTTATAACAACCTCTTATCAGTTGATACTGGATTGCGACGAAGACAGGTGCGACACTCGAAATTATCAGTCGGCAAATAATACAGATCTCTCGCCACACACACAAAGAAATAATTATCTTCTGAATCAGTGGACACCTGGCGTCTTAAGAAATATGAAACGTGAATCACGCGGCACTACATTTATGATAAATGATGATAATAAAAATTAAATTATTCGAGCCCACTGAACGGATCCGGGTCACGATTTTGGCGCATCCGCCGAGCTAAATTCATGTCAATGATGGTGTGTCGGTCTAAAAATCCATTAGTATCAAGAGACAAATGCAAATTCGGGACATTCTGGTTTGGAGGAGCAGCGTTTTGTCTGCCGGCCAGAATTTGATTTAAATTTATGGGAAAGAGATCAACGGTTTCCTGGGTTGGAGGAATTTGGGCGCGGTTCCTCTCTTGACCTTCTGATTTTGGGCGGCTTTCCCTCCTTCGAGGAATCTGCAGTGGCTCAGGTGGAGTTTGTTTTTTTAGCAGTTCCTCTCTTGACAGCTTTATCGGTTTTGCCAAATCCTCAGGGTTGTAATGAGGGGTGGGTGGGAACGATTTAATAGGAGTTGTTGGTGCCTTTGCTGGTTCCGGCAGTGAAAATCGCGTCCTTCTCACCGGCAGAGTCGGGTTGCTTTCAGGTTTTGGTTTTTGATTATTGGCAGGTGGATCCTTTTCCGTTTGCAGAATTTGATTAGAAATTTGGCCTCTGGGGATATTTACATATAAAACAGGTTTTTCGGGGATCTTTTCAGGTTTTAATTCTATGTTTGCTGCTGATGACCTGGCAGGTGCGGGGGATCTTCGGTCAGGTCGAGGGCTTTCAAAATTGTTGCTCTCCTGACTGGAGTCGTGACCTCCGACTATATTTTTGTCCAGATACTGTGGGTTCGAACTTGCTGTTACCGTTTTGGGCAACATTGAGGTCAAGTCTGAAATTCTGTTCTGCCGCCGGAAGGGTCGTGGTTTATTCTGATTTTCGTTGATGTAATTGCGCAAAAAGTCCTTTCCATCATTTAATCTAAATTCAGGTGGAACGAAATTATCTTTGTTAATTAAATTTGATTTCTTTTCGTCGTTAGCTCCATTTTTAATAAATTCAGCTTTTACTGGATACTTATTTAATGAACTTGGTTTCTCGTTAGTGCTCCTCACTTTAATCGGCTGTTGTGGGGTGGTGGAGATTTTTATCGTAGGTGCTGTTTTCTGCTGTGGTGGCTGCTCCACGTCCGTGTCGCTGTCTTCATCACTTGATGATTCCTCCTCTTCAGCAGGTTCTGGTTTTCTTACCTTCCAGAAACAAATTAAGTCTTTCCACGTATAAAAGCCTCTTTCGTTCATCCTCTTAATCAATTCGCCGCCACCTCGCTTGAATGCAATTTCCAATCCAAGCGTGATGATACTTGCAGCCATTCCCATATACAAAACTACCAACATTGGGATGAGGGTGTCTATGTCAATTGGATTTAAATCAGGCAGGGGCTTCAAAGGTCCTACATCCGGCTGGTCAATGTATCTTCTCATTCGATTTATTATTCCAGTCTCTCTCATACGATTGAACCTATTTAAAGCAAATAAAACATCATTGAAATTATTTATTGCTAAGAATATTAAACCCTCACATTTTGATAATTTGCCGATTGTATGTGTTATTTTGATTTAAAACAAAGCCCAAGTTGGACCGGAAATATGAATCTTTCAGTGTCATCACGTTGCATTTGGAAATTTGTTGATCCTTTGGAGGGATAGCAAGTTCAGAGTCCAGAAAGGCAACATTTTCTTTGCATAGTCGTTTAATTTCACTTTTGTTATTGTAAAGATTATCAGCCTTTGGTTTCATCGGCAATAATTGATCCCAAACGTCAGCCAATGGACCTCTTTTCCCATCTTTTAACCTGGTTATCTATAATGTGAAAAATTTGATATGGTCAAATATTAATGCAAAAATGAACCAGCATAATATTAAAACCTTAATATTATCAAGGAGTGATGTGTCATTCCGAACAATTAGTTTATGTGTTTTTTTGGCGGCCATATCCTGAAGCGAATCAAAAGGTGGCTTAAAACTAACAGTCGTAAGCTGAGAAATGACCTCGGTGTTATACGTGATATAAATCAAATAGCCACAAATCAGGCTGGTCCAGACAAGCACTCGACCAGAGCATCCTGAGGCAATTTGAATTGCGCCTTGGTAACAGAAGCAGCCAATTACAATTATAATAAGCTGCCCTACATCGGCGGGCGTAGCTAGGTATGACCTAATTTTTGCCTTTTGTCCGACGAATTCGATGAAAATCAAGATGACGCCCATCATCAGCATTGAAATTACAATAGCCAACCATAAAACTGGTGAAAATACTTTTCCCAAGCTGAGCGAAGTTGATACGCTTGTTGGAGATTGAATGAATAATTTAAACCTATTAAGCATTTCAATAATGTCAGTATAACTGTATATTAAATTTTTTTCTTACCTTGTGCTGTGCGTCGGTTGAGTGATTACGAGGCCTTTAGTTTCCTCAGGCCCAAAGACCGTTGGAACCAATGCAAAATTTGCACCACCTTGGTAGACAAGTTGAGGAAGGGCGCTAGCCGAATTGGCAGAAACACCCTGTGGTGTGATAAATCTTACCCTGTTCAAAAATTATTTATGCTTTCTTTAAGAAATTGTTATTTTACTAAATCTTACGTAAGCTTTAGCTTATCCCAGACAAAAGACCACAGCTCTAAACCAAAAGAGGTTGAAAATTCATATTCGAATAGCTGTTCAGGCGTGTAGCTTGTGTCAAAATTTATATCGTAGCCATCAATTTCTTCCTGCAGAAGTTGCGAGGATTAGTTTGGTATTCAAAGATCACATGATAAAAAAAATAATATTATTTTTACTCGGGTTACTGCTGCCACCACTGTTTGCGAAACAGGTTTCCCTAATAAATAATATCATATAAGATTTTTAAAAAATAATTTACTTTTAAACTTACAAAATGTCGTTGGGGGTGTTGGTTGTTCATCCTGACCGTTTGCTGAATTATTGAAAGTAAAAATAAAACAAATTAATGATAATATAAGCTTGTTCATTTTGCTCTGTTGAGGCCAAATGCTGGATGAAAACTAAAACATATTAAAAACTGCTTTGTAATTCCTGGTTGTCACAACACCAGCAAAACATTGATATAATAATTATTTTTACACCGTCTGTTGCGTGAGAGCTAAATTCTCATAATTGATAATCATGGCCGACTTTTGTTGTGCACTACATGCTTTTAAAGCAAGGCCATTCTAGTTGAAAATGGGATCAATATTAAAAAACTTTTTAGTCAGCATCTAATATTTTAAATTATACTCTTTAATTTTGCGTTAGCTATTAATTTTTGAAGCAAATGCGAGCTAATTAACGAGCAAAATTTCCATTTTAATTGCAGATCTCAACTCTCAATATCTGTTTTTTTTACTTGTTTTTTTTTCTTCTATTCAATTCTATTTAATATTTCTTAAAACGGGTAGTAAAAGTCCTTCTTGAAATTAATTCAGAGCAAATAAAAAAAAAAGAAACTTATTTTCAGAGCGCACAAAATATTTATTTATTTTCTAAAAATGTAAACCAAACATAATTCAATTGAAGTTTAAAAATTCTGTGAACATGTTGGTAAAATTCATGCAGAGAAGAGAAACATCTGAGAATTTTCAAAATATTTTCAAAAAGGAGTGAAAAAACATTAAAAATTACTATATTATAATAATAATTACAGCAAAATTTTAAAGATAAAATTACGCTTCCGAGTATCAATGCAGACGTATGAAGAATTCGTCGTAGATGTTTAATTCGGTCCACCAAACGGATCTGGGTCGCGGTTTTGGCGCATTCGTCGAGCTAAATTCATGTCGATGATGGAGTGTCTGTCCAGAAACCCATCAGTATCAATTGACAAATGCAAATTCAGGTTTGGAGGGGCAGGGTTCTGTCTGCTTGCTGGAATTTGATTTATATTTAGAGGAAATAAGAGATCGGCGGTTTCCTCAGCAGGTGGAATTTCAACGCGGTTTCTTTCTTGACCTTCAGTTCGCGGGCGGCTTTCCCTCCTTTGAGGAACCTGGAGTGGCTCAGGTGCAGTTTGCTTTTTGAGAAGTTCCTCTCTCGATTGCTTTTTGGGTTTCGCCAAGTCTTCAGGGTTGTACTTTGGGGAATTTGGTACAGATTTAACCGAAATTGGATCCTTTGGTGAGTCAGGTGTTAAAAATCCCACCCTTCTGACTGGCAATGCAGGGTCGTTTGCAGATTTGCGTTCTCTCCCTGGTGACCTGCCAGGTTTTAACTCTCGGTTCACCGTCGGTTTATCAGATTTTGGAATATCAAATTCACTCTTCCTCTGGATTTTGTCGTGACCTATATTTGCATACGCCAGAGGTTCTCTTCCAGGTGACCTGTTAGGTTTCAACTCTCTGTTCACTGCTGGTGACTTGGCAGAAGCGCCTGACTCTTTATTATTTTTAGGGCTAGTTAAATTATTTTTCTCCTGAATAGGGTCCTGGCCAGTGGCTATATTTGCATGTGCCTGAGGTTTTTCCACAGGGAGCCTATCAGGTTTCAATTCCCTGTTTGCTACTGGTGCAGGGGACCTTCGGTCAGGTCTTGGGCTTTCAAAATTGTTGCTTTCTTGACTAGAATCGTGATCTCTGATTGTATTTTTATCTAGATATTGTTGGTTGAGACTTGCTTGTTTGGGGAAAATATTTGTCAAGTCTGAAACTCTATTCTGCCGTCGCAAAGGTCGTGGTCTGTTTTGATTCTCATTTATGTAATTACGTAATTTTTCAAAATCTTTGCCGTCATTTAGTCGAAATTCAGGTGGAACAAGCTTGTTTTTGTTAATCAAATTTGACTTCTTATCGTCGTTTTGCCCTAATATTGCAATCGGTGCAGCTTTTACTGGATACTTGTTTAGTGAATTTGGTTTTTCGTTTGTACTCCTCACTTTAATTGGCTGCTGGGGTGTAGTAGAAATTTTTATCGTAGGTGCTGTTTTCTGCTGTGGCGGCTGCTCAACGTCCGTGTCGCTGTCTTCATCACTCGATGATTCCTCCTCGTCAGGATTAGGCTTTCTTACCTTCCAGAAACAAATTACATCTTTCCACGTGTAAAAGCCCCTTTCGTTCATTCTCCTAATTAATTCTCCGCCGCCATGCTTGAAAGCGATTTCCAAACCAAGTGTGATTAAACTTGCAGCCATTCCCACATACAAAACTATAAGCATAGGTATGAGGGTGGCTATATCGATTGGATTTAAATCAGGCAAAGGCTTTAAAGGTCCTACATCAGGCTGGTCGATGTATCGTCTCATGCGGTTTATTATTCCCGTCTCCCTCATTCGATTGAACCTTAAAAAAAATTATTTTCCATTTAATATATAAATTTTAAAACTAAAAAAATTAATGTACTCTTACACTTTTATTATTTGCTGATTGAATGTATTATTTACGTTTAATACAAATCCCACGTTAGAACGAAAATATGAATCTTTCAATTTCATCACGTTGCATCTGAAGGTTTGCTGGTCTTTTGGTGGGATGGCAAGTTCAGAATCCAGAAACGCAACTTTTTCCAGGCACATCCTTTTAATATCAGATTTATTGTTGTATAAGTTTTCAGCTTTTGGTTTTATAGGCAATAATGCATCCCAAATGTCGGCCAACGGACCTCTTTTCCCATCCTTAAGTCTGGTAACCTATTTAAGAAAAAAAAATTAATTTTTTGTTTATAAAAAAATTTAAGGGAAGTCCGCACTTTAATGTTATCAAGAAGAGATGTGTCGTTCCGAACAATTAGTTTGTGTGTTCCTTTTGCGGCCATATCGGAAAGTGATTCAAATGGTGGTTTGAAAGCGACAGTAGTAAGCTGCGATATGACTTCTGTATTAAAAGTGACATAAATCAAATAGCCACAAATCAGACTGGTCCAGACAAGGACACGGCCAGAGCATCCTGAGGCGATTTGAATTGCGCCTTGGTAACAGAAGCAGCCAATTACAATTATAATAAGCTGCCCTATATCAGCAGGAGTTGCTAAGTACGACCTAATTTTTGCCTTTTGTCCGACGAATTCGATGAAAATCAAAATGACGCCCATCATCAGCATTGAAATTACAATAGCCAACCATAAAACTGGTGCGAAAACTTTTCCTAGACTGAGGGAAGTTGATACGCTTGTTGGTGATTGCACGAACAGTTTATACCTTAAAAATATAATTATATTTTTTGCAATTTAAAATATTATAAAATATTATTTCTTACGTTGTGCTGTGCGTTGGTTGAGTAATCACCAGGCCTTTTGTTTCTTCGGGTCCGAATACAGTTGACACCATGGCTAGATTAGCGCCACCTTGGTAAACGAGCTGCGAAACCTCAGCGACACTAGGTTGCGCCACAAATTTGACCCTTAGAAGATCAATTTTTAATAATTCATCCATATTTAAACAATTTTTCAGATTTTTCTTACGATATATTTAGCCTATAACATGCCATGGACCAAAGCTCCAAACTAAAAGTGTCAGTAAAGTCAAAATCTGTGATCAAATTTTCGCCCGCGTATACTGTGTCCCCGTTGAATTCGTAGCCGTCAAAATCCTCCTGTAATTGAGGCACTTTAAAATCTGCACTTGGAGTTGCTCCAAAATTATCAAAAATAATTAATGCATTTTATATTAGAAGTATTATTTATAATTAAATATTAAGGTTTTGCCTGGTTCACCGCTGCTGTCACTACTCTGCTCACAAGCTTCCCTAAATTGAAATAACAAATCAGAATTTAGATTAGTTTAAAAGTTAATTTCTTTAAACTTACATGTTTGCGCATTTGCCAAATTTTGTGAATTGAAAATTAAAATTGTTAAACACAAAATAAATCTGCTCATCCTAGCTGGAGAGTTGCGCTCAGTGCAGGATTCATATAACGACTGACAGAAAAAAACCTTCTCACCCATGTTGTCACAATAGTGGAAATACAAAGCCGCTGCGGTTGCATGTTAGTGACATTAACCGTGATTTTTTTTTATCAGCTTTGGTAGATTTTCATGTCGGAGATCACGCAATAATTTTGACAGAAAATTCATTCTGAAGAAAAATCCATTATAATTATGGGCTACCATCTGATATGAGATATGATAAGTAATAAATTTTAATCAGAATCATTTTATAAAAATTATTTATTTTTGTCCTATTGATTCATTAGGATATATTTATCTATTCCTATTAAATCAATCAGTTGTCAAAATATACAGGTTTTAAAACAAAACTCAACGCAAGTAATGTTTCCAATTATAAATTTATTTTTTCCCCGCAAATTTTATTACGAAAAAGAAAACACTAATATTTTGATTAATAAAATTAAATACTCTCTATTTTAAATTTTGCTTTCCCTTCTTGGTGGTGGTACTGAATATATCCGAATTGGCAGCGGCGGAGTTCTTGAAATTTCAACTCTAGGCGAAAATCCGTCTGCTGAACGTGGACTATTAAAATTGCTTTCCTCGGAGCTGTTATCGCGCAAGGTGTTTTTATCCAAATAAACTGGTCCAGCGTTTGGTAAGAAGTTGTTCAACTGAGAAACTCTATTTTCCCTTTTCAATGGTCTGGGAGGCACCGATCGGTCTACAAATTTTGATTTATTTTCAGTTTCTCTTTTAATTTTAGCCGGTGTCGCAGGTGTGCGCGGAACTTTAATTGTTGGTACCGAAGACGGCAAAGCTGCTTCTTCGTCTTCGGAGGATTCGCTTTCCTCGCTTGATTCCTCGTCAGGATTCGGCCGTTTCACCCTCCAAAAGCACACGACGTCCTTCCACGTGTAATAGCCCCTCTCGTTGAGCCGCCTGATCAATTCGCCCCCACCGTGTTTAAATGCAATTTCCAGACCCAAAGTGACCACACTAGCAATCATCCCTACGTACAAAACAACCAACATCGGAATGAGGGTGTTAATTTCAATGGGATTCAAGTCTGGCAGGGGCTTCAGTGGACCCACGTCAGGCTGATCAATGTATCTGCGCATTCGATTAATTATTCCTGTCTCTCGCATCCGCGAAAACCTTAAAAAGTAAAATTAATTTTACTGAAAATAAAATTTTTATAATTTTTTTTTTATATACATTTTAATAATTTGTTTGTTGAAGGTATTATTTTTGTTTAAAACAAAACCAAGATTTGATCGAAAATAGGAGTCTTTCAGCGTCATCGTGTTGCATTTATATTTTTGCTGGTCCTTTGGAGATATTGCAAGATCCGAATCCAAAATTGCAACTTTTTCCTTGCACAGCCGATTGATTTCCTTTTTATCATTGTAAAGATTTTCCGCTTTTGGTTTCATTGGCAGAAGTTTGTCCCAAACATCAGCTAAAATTCCTCTTTTCCCATCTTTAATTCTTGTGATCTGAAAAAAAATTAATATACCTAAACTTTTATATTAAATAATATTTTACTTTTATATCTTCCAAGAGAGAAGTTTCATTCCGAACGATCAGTTTGTGCGTTCCTTTCAAAGCCATATCTTGGAGTGACTCGATGGGCGGCTTGAAGCTGACCGTTGTCAGCTGCGAAATGACCTCCGTGTTGAAACTGACGTAAATCAGGTAGCCGCAAGTCAGGCTCGTCCAAACCAAAACCCTGCCAGAGCATCCTGACGCAATTTGAATCGCGCCTTGGAAACAAAAACACCCGATGACGATTATCACGAGCTGGCCCACGTCGGCCGGCCGTGCAAGATACGACGTAATTTTTGCTCTTTGCCCCAAAAACTCGATGAAAATAAGAATGGCGCCCATCATTAACATTGAAATAACGATGGTAAGCCACAAAACTGGAGTGAAAACTGTTCCCAAACTGAGCGACGTTGAAACGCTCGTCGGCGACTGCACAAATAATTTGTACCTAAAAAAGTTTAAATTATTTATTTTAATATTAGAAATAAAATTTCTTGTACTTGACGCTGTGAGTTGGTTGAGTGATGACAACTCCCTTGGTGTCCTCCGGAACGTAAACCGTCGGAATGAATGCAAAATGTGCCTGCCCATTGGCCACCATTTGAGTTACGGCACTTAAAGTGTTTTTAGAACTTCCCTTCGGCGTGACGAATTTGAATCTTGAAAAATTGATTTAAACATTAATTTTAAATTTAAGTTAATATCAAGCTTACTGTGCCTTTAATTTGTCCAAGGCTATCAACCACAGCTCGATTCCAAAAGAACCCACTTCAAAAGCATCTTGAAATGAATCAACAGTGTACGTTTCCGATGGAATAGTTTCCCCATCTTCGTAAGTCGAGCTTAAAGTAGCAAACTCTTCCTGAAATTTAAATTTTATTTTTTATTCTGATCATAAAATTTAATGCTGAAAATTAAAAGAAAACAAGATATAGAAAAAAAACGAGGCTTTTAGAATGCCCCATTTTTTATATTAAATATAAGCCCATACTATAAATAATTAAATAACATGGTGAATTCTTGCACCTCCAATTCATAGGCCTGATTTAAAAAAAAAATTAAAAATAAATTAAGTCTTTGTGAAGAGATAATTAAGTTCTCAAAGATATAAATGCCTTACATGAGTTACAGCTCCAATCAGCACCGTGTCACTAGGCACTGGTTTCCCTATTGGTAAAAAAATTAATTAAAACTGAAAATTTAAATAAAATTTGCAAAACTTACAGAAGCCTTGGCCTGCAACTGGCGGAGCGTCTTGACTTCTTACAAGAAGTGCAACGTTTTGCAATAAAACGAGTAAAATTCCCGCAGCAAAATTCATTGCAGTCAGGAGTCGACCTGGAGACCAAATGAAGTTTTGAGCAAAAGTGACATTAGAGTTGCCATTATATAATGCAAGCGCAGTACATTATTGGAATGACGCACGTTAATCCCAAAATAGATACGTCGCATTGCTCGTTAAGCTTTTGATAAATGTTGTGTTGATAATCATATTTTTTTTGTTTATTTTATTTTTAGTAATTTGGAATGATCATATCCTTTAGAATTTTTACCCAAATAGATCATTATTAAGTTAAGCAAAGTTGATCAACGACGAGAGAGGTTGATCAACAATTATACTTTTGTTAAAAACGATTAATATTAATTAATATTATGTTTAAGAAGTAAATTTTTAGATAGGTTTTCATACATACAGCAAAAATTAATTAAAAACAAGAAATATGTGTATTGCTTTTTAACACGCAATTTATTGGAAATTATTCACGTTTTATAGATTATGATTATTTGATGAATCGATGAGTAATTGAGTAAACCTTCATTTCTTCACTCACTTTTGAACTGATTATGAGATAAGAGGAGGCTAAAAATTAAATTTTGTATAGGAACACCTGTGGGCACTTGAAGCAAGTGGTTGCATAATATTTGATTTTCAATCAACAAACTTTTATATTATTAGATTACAGACTGGCTTAGTTACAGTAAATAATAAAAGTGGAATAAATTAGAAAATATAATTAATTTGCACATTTTAACAACGGATCCTATTGGAAAATTTGTTTACTTTTCAAGTTGAAATCTGCACATAAATTTGGAACTCTTTGCTGAAAATGTCTCAGTTTCAAATTGAAATTTCATTCAAGATTGTTTTAATTTCTATTCTTCATTTTAGTTATTCAGATTAATAAAATTTCTATTTTTTCCTATTTTTAATATTTGATGGAGCTTTGCTTTAAATTACTTTGTACATACAATTATTTTGGCCGCTGAGAGCTGAAAATGTGTTATCTCGGAAAATTGATCGCACACACACCTCGAAATATCACGCAGACATGACGTGTGTGTGTGTGTCGATCCACCGGTAACGCTCGATATATTTGCTAACGCGCGTGTGTGTGTATTTTTGGAGCTGGCGCTGTCATTGACAAAAGATCTCGCAATAATTGCTTTAATCACGGCGGAGAATCGGGCGGCACACGCGCTCGCTGCATTATTCGCAGAGCGATGCGCCCCTTTCGCTGTCATTGTTTGCGATCTCGGCCGCCCTGGGGGTGTCCGAAATCAAACACGCACAAACTGGGCAAGGTCCACGTCAAAAGTGACCGGCCTGCGTTTGACACGTGCGTTACGCATGCGAACGTGCGCACTCACTCGGACGGCTTTTGACGTACCTGGCGGGGGTGCCGAAAATAAATATACACGTCGAGCACAACAAATTATTCCCACCGAGCGTTTGGCAAAAAATTCCATTTCGTGGCGAAATATGTGTGTCCTTTGATTAGGGGCCGCCTTCAAAGAGCTAATTTTCTCCGGCAAAGAGACAAACAATAAAGGTCTGCAAGTGAAGCGTTCAAAGAAAAAAGCAGCTAATCACGGCGCGCTTTGCGATTTTCCGGGGAAATTATTAAAAATGGTACGTATTATGTGGGGGAGGGGAAGGAAACCCTCTTTTCATGCCAGATGCGGTGTAATTATTTCTCAGCCAGTGATCTCGCCGGCGCGTTAACCCTTTCTCTCTTTTCATTGCGATGCGTGTGTTCCCTTTGTTGTCCGATATTTTATACGTTTGACTGCCGCTGCGCGAAATCTTTGATCGAATAATCGGAAAGCACTCTCGCCGGCTGGAACGGGTGCCGCGACGCGTCACTTTTTTGATTTGGCGAATGAATTAAAATTGTAAAGAGCTCGCAGCAGGTGCTTTTGAACAATATTTCGATAAAAATATGAAAAGGGGGCGTACAAATGAAATGAAAATCAGTCTGGAAAAAGCAGCAGGGTGTGCGTTCAGATTTTATTCTCCTTTTGATATTTCTTTTTCTACCATTTAGCTCAATAATAAACATAAATTTTGTTATGAAATATTAAATTTTGTATATGAAAAACAGTGAAAATATTAATACAATTAAAATTTATTTCAAATTTACTGTCGAGTGTTCAAGATCGTTGTAAGTTAGTATTATCCGTATTGTCAATACCAAATATGTTTTAAAATTTTTAAATGTGTATCATAATGCATACAATTTTCATTCAAGTATAAATATAAAATTATCAATGATATTGACCACTCAGAAATTGAGACGATTAATTTATCTTTAAATTATAATATAATATCAAGTTAAGCAGATGATAAATATAATATTATTTTTTTCAAGTTCTCAAAATATATATATTATGTGTTCTGTATATACATTTTCTTATGATTTCTGGAATTAAAATAAAAAAATAATTATAAATTAAATAAAAATTAAATTATAAATTAAAATAAAATTTGCTTTAAATTTAATGGTTACCTATTTGGAATATTTTTACTTTCAAAACTTGTAAATAAAATTAAATAACTTTTTATAAGCTATGATATTTGTATAAAATTTGTCATTTGCTTTTAGTGCGATTTTGATTCGCCCCCATTATTATTTTCATTATTTTAATTAATCACACTCGCATCCTCCTCTTTTCAAATAAGACCTGCACCATATTGCAACACCAGACTTCTGCCATACCTGTCATTCACAATAACGGACGTATATAATTATGCAATCAAGTCGAATTGATGATGATATCGCGATTGTCAGTCAATTAATTGCACCCCCGTCGGGGTTATAGTGCCGTTCGTGACGCTGAACTCGTGTGCGTCTGTTGCGCCTCGACCGAACCCCGGCGGAGGCAAAAAGCATGCATGCATATTTCATTCTGATCATAGCAGACGGAATTAATACAATTGTGTGTTATTGTTGGCACGCTCGGGGGTGTTTCATTTGCGGCGCGATGAGTAACGAGTGAGGGCGAACTTTTTGACATGCAAGTGACACGAAATAAGACATGTGTGTTTTCAATTGTGTTTGCTGCAAACCACTGAACTGGATGCATATCGGAATTAACTTTCATTATCCACCCATCACGCTGGACGCTTTTTAGCATGTGGCGAGAGATCTGACTTTTGTATGTGCTTCTATTTTCGGACCCTTCTGCCGGTGGTCTCTGAAAATAACTATAATTCTTGTAATGAAGGGTGATCTTTTATGTGTGCTATTCACGTTTACAAAACGTTTTTGGTGCAGAAAAAAGCATTTCGAAACTCAATCCTGCTATATTAATGGCAATAAACCATTTTTTTTTGCCAAAAGTTCAAAGTTATGTTTTTATAAAGTGCTAAACATCAAATCATTTTAATTTTAGTTCCACCAAACAATTGAAGAATAAAATTAAGAATTTTAATTTTTTTTTCAGAATTAAGAATTGCATTAATTTCAAAGAAAACATGGCATTAAAAATTAAATGTTAACTTTTTCTTAAAAAATAGTTTCTTTTTCAGTTTTTACTAAAATTTGTCCCATTTGCATTTATTGAAAGTATAATCCAGCTCAAAGTGTGTGTAATAAGCGCAAAAAGTTTAATAATTTGAACTGAGATTTAAAAAAGTTTTGAAAGGGCCTAAAATTGTCAAAGCTTCCAAATTTATCCAATAATTTGAATAGAATATTATTGTTATGTAATTTTTAATTTCACACTTATGGTTTGAATAAAAAGTTAAAATAACAGCAACACTTTTGCCAAAATCCAAGTGTTGCTTATTAATTTTAAATTTATACGTACAGTTGACTCCTTTTTCTACAATAAAATTGCAACAAATATCTTTTGTAGTAACTAAAAATATTATATAATAATAAATGAACGCTGGGAAATTTTGTAACAAAACGTTTATAAGTAATGAAGAGTATTCAAATTTCAGTGAAGAACCCTCCATTCGAGACTTGTGCATTTGTAATTAAGCATCCAAGTGCGCACATTCATTGAAAACAATGTGACATTAATTCAAGAGTCGACGAAATTCCCATGCATGCATGTGCACACGTACAATAAGCGGATAATCGTGCACTTGTCTTCATATTCTTGAATCATGCTCATGAATCCGCAGCTCTCATCGAATTATGCACAAGAGGGGGTGGGGGAGAGGCAAGGGCGGAAATCAAATGAAAAAAGTGCAGCCAAGATCTCCCGCGTTTCATTTTATTTGTAAAAAAAGGAAGGGAAGCGAGATGCAAATGATTTGAAGCGCATGTAAAGCTGAAAACTGATCACTCTTCTCCTGCCCTCCAATTTATCGGCGCAGCTTCCCGCCGCGTCTCCTCTATTTTTTTTTATTATTCCGTTCGGAAAAACAATGGCTCTCAATCAGAGAGCACTCTCGAGAAATATAATATATATTTCATGTGAATCTGGGTGGTCTGCACTGCTGCATTACGGTGATTAAAACGAATTTCAATGGCGCTGCCTGCCTCTTGATTAATCCGAAAATGTATTATTTTTATCCCGCCGAGTGGCGAGAAAAGAAAAGTGATACCATAAATTTTTGTGGGTCCTTCCGCATGCATTTTTTAAAGCGCTGCACAGATGCGAGCCCTTGTCGCCTGCATTAGGGGATTATATTTTTGCTGCACCGGGAGGTGCACTCGAAAAAACGCTGCAGTTGTTTTCCTTGCCCACTAAAGGGTTCTTGAACACGCACTTTTTTTATTATTTTCTCCGGCGGCTTTGCACTCATTTAAAGAGCAGCGCGTTGTTCGGGGGCGAAAAGCCGCACTTGTGAGTGCATTATTCAAATTAAAATGCATTTTGCATCCACGGACCTTTGGATCGGACAGCACTTCTTTTTTATAATCAAATGTACGCATTTCCTCTAGTATATATTCTCATTGTAAATTTATTATTTTTATATTCGTTCATTATATTAATAATATATCATCAATGATTAGGCCCCATAACAAATAATATTTGCATACTTACACTTCATTCAACAATTCACACCTAAGAAGGTATTTACAAAATTTATAAAAATATTACGAGCATCATT